AAACTGCCCCTCAAAGGACTTCTGTTTAGAACTATAAAGAATTTAAAAAATCAGACCCTGAAATTCAAGGACCTGATCCAAAAATGGGCATCTGAGATGAATACACAGTTCTCAGATAAAGAAATACAAATGGCAAATAAATACATGAAAAAATGTTCTGCATCATTGGTCATTAGAGAAATGAAAATTAAAACCACACTGAGATTCCATCTCACTCCAGAAAGAATGGCCAGGAAACTACCAACAACAAATGCTGGAGAGGCTGTGGGGAAAAGGAACTCTCCTGCACTGTTGGTGGGAGTGTAGATTGGTGCAACCATTTGTGGAGGTCAGTCTGGAGATACCTCAAAAAGCTGGGATTGGAACCCCCATTTGACCCAGCTATTCCACTTCTGGGCATTTTCCCAGAAGAACTAAAAACATCCTACCACAGTGGTATACGTACACCCATGTTTATAGCAGCGCAATTTGTAATAGCCTGGTATTGGAAACAACCTAAATGCCCATCAATTGAGGAATTCATAAAAAACGTGTGGTACTTTTATACAATTAAGTATTACTCAGCTATAAAGAATGATCACACTGAGATATTTATAAATAAATGGACGCAACTTGAGACCCTACTCATAAGCGAAATAAATCAAACTCACATGTGTAAATACTGCATTGTCTTCCTAGTGTAAGAAATGGTAACAGTACATAAGATAAAAATGCTCAATAAATATGGGAGAGGGCAAGAATCTGCTCAAAGGGGGAAAAATAATATCTTAGAGAAAAGGAAGAAAAGAAAAAATATTTAAATTTGTATAAACACACTTAGGATAGCGATGACCATTGTGCTACAAATTCTATTAGTTCTTGGAACAAAACAGTTAGCATTCACAGGGTTGCAACAATTTTGCATGTTTGTGCCTGGTGATCTGAGGGACCCTTGAAGCTCATTATAAAAATAATAACCCTAGTTAGGTTCCTACCACCTTGCTTTGAAGGTCTATATGGTTGTTGTTTTGAGTTTTTTGCTATTGTTATTTATTTGTCTTTTTTGTTTCTTGTTTTTCTAATAATCCATTTTGTTTTGTTTTTGCCTCTAATGCAGAAAAGATAGGTATATATGTAGAGGCTTATACATGCCTAGAACTCCTCAACAAATTTATGAGAATCAATTATGTTATGCGTGATGAAATAAACAGCTACTTTGAAGAAAAAGAGACATTGCTGATTCCATATTGACATGCTGTGAAAACCAGTGATGCATTTATTCTTTGTCCAGAGTGATTTTAGTCTGTTCTGTATTGTTTAATTTCAACATACATGAAGGTGTGGACAGCTATTTTGAAGAGAACAAGAGACATCATGGCAGCCATTGTTGATTTCCCTATTGTCTGGTTTTGAAGGCCCGTAATGCCTTCATCACTCTGTTCTGATCAGTTTTGTACAAATTCATTGTGTGTGAAGATACAGACACTACCTAGAAGAAAACAAGAGACATTATGGTAGCCACGTGCGTCTCCTGTTGTCTTGCTTTGAAATCTGTGTCACTTGCAGTGTTTTCTTCTGAACTGCATTGTTCTGTTTTGTTTTATCATCTTTAAAATAAAACAGAAACAAAAGCAAAACCCAGGCTGGCCTCAAACTCCCACTGATCCTCCTGCTTCAGTCCCCTGAAAGCCAGGGATACAGCTGTGCGCCACCACGCCTGGCCAGAGGACGATTTTTATGCATCTGAAAAGTCATTATATTCTCCTTTCTGGCCCAGTGGAACTGCTCTTTTAGGAACATCACAAGATTCTCAGTATATCTCCAGGGATCTGCAGTTACCCCAAAATGTTCTCCTGCCCCTTGACCATGGGGAAAGTTTTCAAATCAACAGACAAGCAGCTGGAAAATCCCATGTGGGTCTGCCTGGGGATGAGGGGAAAAAAGAGAAACTCAGACTGGACAGGAGGCAGGTGAAGATCCAGAGGCTGTCTGGCCCCTCTGTGTGTCCTCCTCATCTTTGTCTGTTTGGAAGTTCCAGATTTATATGCTAAGCCGGTGTCGTACCACTGAATTACATCCAGCCCTAATGTTTTCATGACTGGCAAAACTGACAAAGGCACTCTTGTTTCTGTGGAAACAAGACAGAACAAAATTTGCTTGACTGTACACTTTCTTAACAGGGCCTCTGACGCCACTGGGCAGAAGATATTTTTCTCTGTGGTCACCCCAAAAAATCTAGAGACGAGTATTTTGATTTTATTTTATTTTGGTCTTTTTGAGACAGGGTCTTGCTATGCGGTTCAGGCTGGCCTTGGGCTCACTTTGTAGCTCAGGCTGGTCTCGAACTCACAGTGATCCTCCTGCCTCAGCCTCCCACGTGCTGGGATTACAGGCGTGAGCCACGGTGCCTGGCTGGGTATTTTGATATTGAGGTTGAATCTTTGGTCGTGGTGTGTGTGTGTGTGTGTGTGTGTGTGTGTGTGTGTGTGATGGGGAACGGATGGGCGCATCATAATTATAGAAATAATCTATAGGAGGGGAGATTAAAAGTGGCAGTTGGCTGTGGGAAGGATTCTTTTTGGCTCAGTTCATCCCATAGTAAGCGTCTTTTTGTCCCCTCCCCGACCACTCTCCCTCCCTTCCGTTTCTATCCGTTTCTTTTCCTCTCTCATCCTGCTGGGATTGACCCAAGACCCAGCTATGCAGACACACTCTCGTACTGAGCACCATCAGTTCCCACTGAGACCCACGATGTGCCTGACCCTGCGCCAGAACAGACGAGCACAGATAAAGTTACTTTGCTATTGTCTGTCTGTCATGAATGGTTTCCCCTCTGTGACACCCCTCTGCCCTGCCACCCTGCCTTAGGGCCAGCAAACTACATACTGAAACCTCCACAAACTGGGACCTAGAGAAAGCCTTTCTCCCTTAACTCTGGTATTTTATCTCAGCAATGAGAAAAGTAACTAAGCCAATGAGTCACTCTTAACATAAATATAGATGTTATAAGGTTTAATTCCTACAGAAAAAACAAAAAGGGAGGTTAAGTATGGGAAATGGGGTTGTTGATTGCAATTTTGAAGTGCTATGGATCAAACACATGGCTAGGCTGGTGCTCTACCACTGAGCTATATTCCCATGTATTTTCTTTCTCCTTCACTCTCTCTCTTATTGTTTTCTTTTAGCAACAGCACCTCCTTACATTGCCCAAGCAGGCCTTGAACTCCTCTGCTTCCGTGGTTCTCTTGACACAGACTGAGTATAGGCGCACACCACTGCCCAGCTATGGACTACAATTTTAGAGTGTCTCATTAGGAGAGTGAGTCCTTCACCCAGTCGAGGGGGGCGAGGGGCTCGTCTGTGAAGAACTTTGCAAGCAGAGGGTGGAGGAGTACAAAGGCCTTCAGGAAGAGTGTGGCCAGAAGGAAGAGCTGGAGAGGGGGGAGGGAGAGCTGGAGAGGGGGGAGGGAGAGCTGGAGAGGAGGGAGGGAGAGCTGGAGAGGGGGGAGGGAGAGCTGGAGAGGGGGGAGGGAGAGCTGGAGAGGGGGGAGGGAGAGCTGGAGAGGGAGGAGGGAGAGTCGGAGAGGGTGGAAGGAGAGCTGAGAGGGAGGGAGGGAGAGCTGGAGAGGGGGGAGGGAGAGTCGGAGAGGGAGGAGGGAGAGTCGGAGAGGGTGGAAGGAGAGCTGGAGAGGGGGGAGGGAGAGCTGGAGAGGGAGGAGGGAGAGCTGGAGAGGGGGGAGGGAGAGCTGGAGAGGGAGGAGGGAGAGCTGGAGAGGGAGGAGGGAGAGCTGGAGAGGGGGGAGGGAGAGCTGGAGAGGAGGGAGGGAGAGCTGGAGAGGGGGGAGGGAGAGCTGGAGAGGGGGGTGGGAGAGCTGGAGAGGGAGGAGGGAGAGTCGGAGAGGGTGGAAGGAGAGCTGAGAGGGAGGGAGGGAGAGCTGGAGAGGGGGGAGGGAGAGCTGGAGAGGGGGGAGGGAGAGTCGGAGAGGGAGGAGGGAGAGTCGGAGAGGGTGGAAGGAGAGCTGGAGAGGGGGGAGGGAGAGCTGGAGAGGGAGGAGGGAGAGCTGGAGAGGGAGGAGGGAGAGCTGGAGAGGGGGGAGGGAGAGCTGGAGAGGAGGGAGGGAGAGCTGGAGAGGGGGGAGGGAGAGCTGGAGAGGGGGAAGGGAGAGCTGGAGAGGGAGGAGGGAGAGCTGGAGAGGGGGAAGGGAGAGCTGGAGAGGGAGGAGGGAGAGCTAGAGAGGGGGGAGAGAGAGCTGGAGAGGGGGAGGGAGAGCTGAGAGAGAGGTAGATCGCATAGGCCCTTGGTGAGCAGCAGAAAGGCTTTATCCTTCTACTTTGAGAAAAACAGAGTTAAATTATTTTCATGTGAGCTTTCTGGATTTTCTTTCCAGTGTCTTGTTTTTGCTGAGTGAGTGAGAGACACAGAGACAGACAGAGACAGAGAGAGACAGAGAAGAGAGACAGAGGGCAGGTGCTGGGGTCTAGGTAAAAACATCAGGAAATCACCACCAGCATTTATTTCCTTTTTTTGGAGAGAGGGTCTTGCTGTGTAGTTTGAGCGGGCCTTGAACTCACTATGTAGACCAGGCTGGCCTCAAACCCGCAGTGACCCTCCTGCCTCGGCCTCCTGTGTGCTGGGCTCACCACTGGCGCCTGCATCTCTCCCCACCTCCTTGCTGTCCAGCCTGGGGTGTGGTTCAGCCCACCCTCTTGGTTGTTTCTGTGACACATTTCCATCCCAGGAAACCCACTTTTCCAACCACCAAACAAATCAAAGATGAGAGGGGCCCTGCTCCCCACCCCCCAGACACTGACTCCTGGAGAAGCAAGGACCAAAAAATGGTGAGCGGTTGGGGTCCCTGCGAATGTCGCACTCACTTGGAGACAGGTCTCAGCTGCCCCCCAACCTCCTGGGCCTTGCCCTCTCCTTACACCCATCAGCGTGCGCACACACGCGCGCACACACACACACACACACACACACACACACACACACGCCACATCCACTGACACAATGGCCGGGTGGGGCTGAGGAAAAGGCTTCCTCTGTGGAGATTGCAATCTGGCCTGGGTTCCCGCCCCAGGAACACAGGAACCATGTCGGAGACTGTGCTCTGCCTTTCTTGCTCCCAGGGGCAGGTACAACAGGCTGAAACCAGGCATCCAAAAAAGATAAGGTCAGTTCTTGGGGGGTCACTACAGAGAGAGGGAGGGGGGAGACTTCAGGGGTGACACCTTTGGGGTGACATGTGGGCTGGCTCCCACCCAGGAGACGGGTCGGAAGCCAGAGAGACAGGCAGTGGTGCAGACAGGGAGAGATGGCCGGGCAGGGCACAGGATGCAGGCACTGGCCATGGCTGTAGCCCTGCGCCATCACCTCCGTCCCACCCCCTGTGCCCCACCCCACCCCACCCCAGACGGCCATGGGCCGTGGACCCCCAGGGCCGAGATGCTGATGGGAGCTGGGCCCATTTGCCTCTGACACCCTGGGTATGGGTCCCTCTGGGCTCCCAGGTTCCCATGTGCGCATGTGGAGCGTGGTGTGGTTGGGGGGGGGGGTGTCCGGTTGGGAAGAGGATCCGATTCCTGTTTCCTGCCCCTACTCACTCAGCCCTGGGAGGTGACTGAGCGTGGAGGGCACCAAGGGTGAGTGCTCAGGGCCCCACTACCTGGGTCCTGCCAGCGGCCTGAGTGGGGGGCGGGGAAGGAAGTGAACACAGGTACCCCGAGGGAGGGGCGGGGGTGGGGGCACCCCACAGGGGTAGGGTCCCAGAAGGAGCTGGCCAGCTGCGGAGGCCACTGGGGGTCACCTCACTAAGTGGCTTCCTGCCAGAGCTGAGCGGTGACAGCTCCCCCCCATCCCACATCCCTTTTCAAGAACCGAATCTGGCTTCTGGAGGGCTGTGACTTTTGCTGGGGAGTTTGGGTTCCACCCCAGCTGTGACCCCAGTCTTATCCAGACGGCAGCCTCTTCCTCATGAGAGGGAGAGCCCAAGCCCCAGTCCTGATCCCCGGGGTGCTAGCCTGGGCCCTGGCCTCGGCCCCCTCCCTCACATCCGATGGGGCTCAGCCGTCTGGGGCCTCTCTCTGTCCAGACCTGGGCCCAGCGAAGCTGAAAGGGCGGGAGACAGAAGGCCTGTGCGGTGGCCCGCAGGGTCTGGGGTCAGAGGCTCCAGGAATCTCCACGGCAGGAAGAGGAGACTAAAAATAATCCGGAAAGGGAGAGTCCAGAGAGAGGAACTGGGAAATGGGGGGCGGGGGCTGGTGGGAGCCGGGAAAGAGTGATGCGTCCCTCACAGCCCATGTACACACGCGTGTGTACACAGCTCACACACCCCACCCAGATGGCACAGAGCACACCCCCGACGCCGCTGTCCCTGCACTCACACCACACACTCCTTTAGAGGCCAGCACACACTGTCCACCCACCATCAGTCAGCACACGGAGCGTACACACACCACACACCGTGCAATTCCTACGTGCACAGCGCTAGCTACAGCGCACACTTAGCCCACACCAAACCTCCACAACACTCAGGTCCATACTGGTGCCTGCACTAACAGGCACCAGTGGACTCTCTCTTCCCACGTTTTACTGATTCTCCGATGCCCCTGACCCCGGGTCTTGTCGCCGCTGGCTTGACTGTAGCATCAGAAGTCAAAAGGCAGAGTGAAGCTCGGTGTGGTGTCACATGCCACAATCCCAGCTACTCGGGTGGCTGAGGCAGGAGGATTTTGAGTCTGGACTCAACCTGGGCAATTGAGGAAAAATTTGTCTTACAATAAAAAAGACGGGTATGGCTTAATGGGAGAGCACCCCTGGGGTCCAGCACCCCTGGGTTCCACCACACACACACACACACACACACACACACACACACACACACACACATAGTGAAAGGGGGAGGGCCAAGAAGGTCCAGGGCAGAACGGAAGGAGACAGGAGAGCTAGGCAGGAGAGGGTAGCACCAGTGACACCAGCCTTCCCTCCTGATTCCGAAGTCATGGCTTCAGACGGCCTCGGGTCTACCCACTGAGGACACTGAGGGGCTCTCTTTCCCTTCACCCTGCTCAGGGGATGACTCCAGCAGAACGCCCCACCCCTTTGAAGAACTCAGAGGAAGATGTCAGCCCAGTCCCTGCCTGCAGCAACACCCCCTGCCCAGAAACCCTCTCGGATCGTCCGCCCCCGGCCGCCTTCCCGCCCACGGGCTCCCCACTCCCCAGGGCCTTCTCACAATGGCTCTTCTCCACAGGCACTTCCCCGAACCCCCAGTGATGCACTGGCTCCAGTGTGCACCCCCATTTTCTGGGAACCCCCAGCCACATCCCTGAAGCCCCCTGCCTTCCTGCCCCCATCAGCTTCTAGAACCAGCCTCGACTCCCAGCCTTCCCCAGACTCACACTCCAGCACCCCCAGTCCAGGGTCCAGGCGCTCTGGCTCCCCAGAACCTGCTGTCTGTTCTCCAGTCCCCCCACCCAAGCCTTCTGGGTCACCCTGTGCACCTCTGCCCCTGCTCCCCGAGGATGGGGGGCTGAAGCAAGATGCTCCTGCCTCGGCCCCTGGCACCGTGCGAAGACTGGCAGGCAGGTTTGAATGGGGGGCTGAAGACAGGGCCCAGGCTGCAGGCTCTCTGGAGCGGGGCCCCTCAGTGGGGGCAGACGTGAATGGAGAGAGGAAGGATGCTGCTGGCCACCCGCCCCAGGAGAATGGTGCTCTGGGTAAGTGCATGGTGGTGGCATGACCTCTGGCAGCTAACCCTTTTTCAGTGCGTGCAGACTGGGAACTCTCAGGACTAGTTTCTCAAACATACATTTTCCTGTTAGAAAACCCAACTTCTGTATTTCTGGAGGTTGGAAGACAGGCAGGGCAGAGGGGGTCTGTAGATGCCAGGAGGGCGCCCGTCAGGGTGAACCAGGCCAAGGCCTTTCTCCTTAGGGTGCCCTGTCTGCCACAGATGCTGTCCTGGCCTGCCCTCCTCGCTGCCCTTGTGTCTGCCACATTGGCCAGCCTGGCCTGGAGCTCCGATGGATGCCCGTGGGCAGCTCCGAGGATGGCCCCAGAGTGCCCTGCAGGGCCTCCCCGCTGCGCGCCTCCCGCTCCCGTCCTAACCCCCCCAGCGTCAGCCACCCCGCAGTCGTCCTCACTTCCTACCGCTCCACTGCTGAGCGCAAACCTCTGCCACCCCTCAAGCCCCCCAAGCCAACTAGGATCAGACAGGACGCCGCCGTCTCTGAGGACCCCCCACAGCCAGATCTCGATTTGCCTTCTGAAGATGGAATCCAGACAGGTGCCGGGCATGTGTGTGGGGTGGGGATCTGTGTTGGGGGACCTCTGGGCTTGGAAGGTTAGAGGTTGAGTGACCTAAAATCCAAAGAACTACAATCCCCATGGGCCCTGGGCTATTTATTTCTCTATCAGCTGCTGTGCTGGGGCTGATGGGAGTTGTAGTTTTTATATTACCAGTGGCTATTGAGGCTGGGGTAAAGAGTCTTGGGCCGATGGCCCTGGAGGGTTCTCTTCACTCTACATTCTCTCTCCAGGGGACAACCCTGATGGCGCTGCTCTGAATCAGAACCCTTTCCCTGCAGCCACGGAGGGAAGGTACTGGATACCCCACTCTCACTCCCCCATCCTCATCTCCCAATGTGCCCTGCGGAGGGAAGGCTGACCTTTGGGTCCAAGTAACTCCTCCCTCCACCGAGGTGGAGGAAGGAAAGACTGGGCTCCAGAGACCAGCAGCAGAGACCGCATCCTACCCCTGCCCATCATTAGTTATGTAATCCTCAGCCTTTCTGGGTCTCAGCATGCTCAGCAGGAAATGGGGGTAAATACACCAGCTGCTCCATGGGAGGTGATGCTGGGCTTATATCGAGTCTCCACTTCACTTCCTTGCCTGCCTTGAGCCTCTGTTGCAGTTACTGTCTGCAAATCCATTTAGTGACTGTAACCACCTTTTCTTTGTTATCTGGGCTTATTAATCATCTTAATTCACCGTCACCACTGGAGATAATCTGGTTCCATGCATTCACTCACAAACGTTTACTAGCATGGTCTTTATTTTTAATATTATTTTTTATGGTTCTGGGGACTGAACCTAGGGATTTATGTATGCTACGCAAATGTTCCACCACTGAGCTAAAGTCACCCGTCACTACTATGGTTGTTTGTTTGTCTTAGCTTGGATGTGTGGGAGTGCAGGTGACCAGAACAGGGGCCATGAGAGCCACAGGTGGTGGTAGGCAGGTCTAAGTGTTGGGTTTGACTGTGTGGAGTTACATGGAGGCGCACATGGGGCCTTTCAGATAAGGGTTGCTGTGTGAGAGGGCTGGAGGCAGAGATTTGGGGGTCTGTGCTCCACAGTAGCTGAGGTAATGGGAATCGACGGAGCCCAGTTAGCTCACCTCTAAGGGATACATAGGAAAGTCCAGACTCTGACCCGAGGAGACATCGGTGTCCCTGCCTATGATGGACACGTGGGTTGTACGTCTCTCTCACCATCCTGCAAACAGCAGCCATGGAGTGGGCGCCATCATGGACAGGACTGCGAATGCCCAGCTCTTTCTCTCTCCACAGGGATGAGGAGGGGGCTGAGGGGCTGAAGGAGCAGAACTGGGAGCTGCCCCTGCAGGACGGTGAGACTCTTTGGACCACGGCTGTGACCTTCAAGCCACGGGGAAGGGTTGGGGCTCTGGACTTCCCGATGTGCTTTGCCTTCTAGAACCTCTCTACCAGACCTACCGAGCAGCAGTGCTGTCAGAGGAGCTGTGGGGGGTTAGTGAGGACGGGGGTCCCTCTCCAGCAAATCCCGGGGAAGCTCCCGCCTTTACACGACCACCCGGGCCTCGAAACACCCTGTGGCAGGAGCTTCCAGCTGTGCGAGCCAGTGGCCTCCTGGAGACGCTCAGCCCCCAGGAGAGGCGCATGCAAGAGGTGGGCATCCTGGCCTGGGTCTGAGTGGGCCGCGTGGGGTGGCATACGACCCGGATCCTAGGCTGGCCGTGAGTGGGACCATGCCGACTGCCTTGGACTTTTTGCAGAGCCTGTTTGAGGTGGTGACCTCGGAGGCCTCCTACCTGCGCTCCCTGAGGCTGCTGACCGACACCTTCGTGCTGAGCCGGGCGCTCCGGGACACGCTCACCCCGAGGGATCACCACACGCTCTTCTCCAACGTGCAGCGTGTCCAGGGAGTCAGCGAGCGGTCAGTGGGGTCCCCCCCCAGGAATCCTGGCTTTGCGCTGCTCAGTACTCCCTTAGCTTTCTCCAGATTCTTCTTTTCACGAACTCTGTTAGTTCCCAGCTCTGTCCCTCTGTCCTCTCCTGGCCCTCTGTCCTCTCCACTGCGGCCTCCTCTCCTCCTTCAGGTTTCTAGGGACATTACTGTCCCGGGTGCGTTCTTCCCCCCACATCAGTGACCTGTGTGACGTGGTGCACACCCACGCGGTGGGGCCGTTCTCCGTGTACGTGGATTACGTCCGGAACCAGCAGTATCAGGAGGAGACCTACAGTCGCCTCATGTGAGTGTGTGTCCTCCCTTCCCGAGGGGCAGCCACGCAGAAGATGCCTGCAACTGGGGGTCTTATGGAGCCCTGTGTGCTGTGTTTTTCATATACTAAATATGGTACGGTTTATTTATAAGTGTGGCATAATAGATTTATTAATAATTAATTAATAATAATTAATAATTAAATTAATTAATAATAAAATAGAAAAATCGCTGTGATAAAATTGCCAGGATCACTATTCTTTCACTCTGGGCACTTACTAAGTAAAGTAAAGGCTGCCTGGACACAAGCACTGTGGGGCTGGTGGTCAGTCTGATAACCGGAGCAGTTTACAGGAGATGGGGGGTGGGGAGAGTACTGTACGAGCCTGGATGCCAGACAAAGAGGATCCGTATTTCATGCGGGACAGAGTGGAATGGTTTCAGAGTTCATCACCTGTTCAGAAAAGTGCAATCTAAAACTTGTAATTGTTTATGTCTGGCTTTTGCATTTGACATTTTTGGGCTAAGTTTGCATGGGTGAGGGCGGGGCTACTGTTTCTCAGAGGTGCGGGAAGAAAGGGGAGCAGGGTAGGGTACGAGGGGGAGCTGGCTGGAGAGCCAGGACCTCGCCCTGCGAAGCCACAGCTGCTGGGCCCATGCTCGGTGCTCCTGCAGGGACACGAACGTGCGCTTCTCCGCGGAGCTCCGGCGGCTGCAGAGCCTCCCCAAGTGCGAGCGGCTGCCGCTGCCCTCCTTCCTGCTGCTGCCCTTCCAGCGCATCACCCGGCTCCGCATGCTGCTGCAGGTACCGGCCGAGCTCAGGCCTCTGCGGCCCCGGCCAGAAGGGGTGCGGGGAGAGCGCCCCCCGCTGGAGGCGGACGGTCTAGACTCCCCTCTGCTCGCCCCTGACTGGTTCATATAACCTCAGAAGGGGAGGAGGGGAATGAATCCTTCAGGGAGTAAGAAACCTTAGCGATTCCTGTACTGTCAGTGGTCGTGGTACAAACACAGATTTACTGCTGGGCGTGGCTGCACACCCCTGTGATCCCAGCACTTGGGAGGCCGAGGCAGGAGGATCTCTATGAGGTTGAGGCCAGCCTGGGCTTTGTAGTGAACTCAAGACCAGCTTGAAATACGCAGAGACGAAAAAAATTTTTGTGTGTGTGTGGTGAGCAGAAGACTGAGGGAAATCATGTCTAAAAAGGATTTATTAGCAGGGGGATACTGTGGGGGAAAGGATTGAGAACTATTTTTCCACGGCAAAGTAGATACTCCCCCCCCACCCCCACCAGGTCATCAATGTGATTTCAACATGAGGAGGCCCCAGTTAGATGATCAGATTTTTTTTACTTCTTTTGGGGTTTTTTTGTGATCCTAGGGATCAAACCTGTCTCCAGCAAGCTGGGCAGGTGTTCAGTCACTGAGCTCCAACTCCAACCCAGCTTCTCTGTCTGGTCCGGCCTTGTCTTTTCCTAGTTGGACGACACAGTAACAGTTATTATCATGGCAATCGTAATAGCTCAGTGACCATGTTTGAAGCACAGATCTAAGCGCTAGGTGCCTGCCTAACCTCGCTAACCGTGTGAGGGCAGGAACTGTCACTCGCCCTACTTAGCAGAAGAGGAAATTGAGCTACAGATTAAACAGCGTCTAGGTCAGACAGAAATAACTGATGGAGACAAACCAAAATCTAGGCATTCTTAATTTCCTGACATATTGTTTATGCTAATATTTGTAGTTAATACTTATTAAACCCAGCAACCCAGTCTTCCAGTGTGCCAAGGACGATGCCAATCAATTTTATTATTCCCTCCTTGATCCTCAGTACCATGCTGATCACACTCCAGGCATCATCCTCATCTTATAAATGGGGAAACTGAGGCAGAGGGGGATGACATGACTTCCTCAGGGTTATGCAGCTAACAGGTGGAGAGGTCTCTTGGCCTCTTTCTTTCTCTTGATCCTTTTAACCATGGCAAAATGCACCTTTATTAAAGGCAGGAAAAATCCGAATGGTAAGGAAAAAACGGCTCTGCAGAGTGGGTTTGGGCTGAGTAAAAAGCCCAGGGGAAGGTAGAGGGGTCAGGTAGGGCAAGCGATGTGAGAAGGCACGAAAGCCTCTAGGCCCTGTGGAGGCTGCTGCAGCCCCGAGACCCTGAACGGAGCATCTCCCCCGGCCAGGCAGGATCCTCCGAGCCCTGGGCCTTTGAATCCCGAGGTCCCAGAGCCGGAATCTCGGGTCACGTTTCCTCCTGGTCCCCAGAATATCCTGCGCCAGACGGAGGAGGGATCCAGTCGCCAGGAAAACGCCCAGAAGGCCTTGGGTGCGGTCAGCAAGGTGCTTGGGAGGGACACTGAGGCTGGGGAGGCGGCGGGGGGGGGTGCAGGGAGCAGGGGGGTGACGCGCGCCCCCCACTCAGATCATCGAGCGCTGCAGCGCCGAGGTGGGGCGCATGAAGCAGACGGAGGAGCTGATCCGCCTCAGCCAGAGGCTGCGCTTCCACAAGGTCAAGGTTAGTCCCGCCCAGCGCCCTCCCCGGCCTCCCCTGCAGCTCGGGGAAGCCAGGACCCCCCCTTTTCTCCCAGGCGCTGCCGCTGGTCTCCTGGTCCCGGCGCCTGGAGTTGCAGGGGGAGCTGACGGAGTTAGGGTGCCGCCGTGGGGGCGTGCTCTTCACCTCCCGCCCCCGCTTCACTCCCCTCTGCCTGCTGCTCTTTAGTGACCTGCTGCTCATCACTCAGCCCAAGAGGTGGGTGCTGAGGATTTAGCCCCGGCTGGGTGGGGAGGAGGCACCCGGTGGGACCCCGCTCTCCTCTGATCGCCCTCTTCCTCGGGCAGTGGGCAGCGGCTGCAGGTTCTGGACTATGCCCATCGCTCCCTGGTGCAGGCCCAGCAGGTTCCAGACCCATCTGGACCTCCTACGTTCCGCCTTTCCCTTCTCAGCAACCACCAGGGGCGCCCCACCCACCGGCTACTCCAAGCTTCCTCCCTGTGAGTTGGTCTGGTCTCCCCCAAAACACCTTTGGGGGCTGGGGGTGTCAGTCAGTGGTGGAGCCTGGCATGGATGTGGGCCTGGGTTCATGGCCAGCACACACAGACAGACAGATACATACACACACACAGACACACACACACTCACACATTACCATTTGGCCTTGGGACCTTCCCCTCACCTCTCAGATGGCCAGGACCCCTGTCTCTCTCCTCATGGACCCTGCCTCCCCCAGGAGCATCTGCAGCTAACCTGAGCCTTCTCCCCTTCCCCACCAGGTCAGACATGCAGCGCTGGCTGGGAGCCTTCCCTACTCCCGGTCCCCTGCCCTGCTCCCCAGACACCATTTATGAGGACTGTGGTGAGTTTAACACTCAGGCCAGGAGGGAAGGAAACACGGTCTTAAGGGGGATATGGAGAAGAAGCCCTGAAGAATCTGGATTCCACTCTGATGTCCCCTGTCCACTGCCAGACTGTTCCCAGGAACTGTGTTCAGAGCCATCTCCGCCTGTCAAGACTGAGGGACCCGGTGTGGAGTCCAGAGCTCCTGCCAAGCATCTGCACAAGAGTCCCGAGGGTGAGAGACTCTTTCACGGGCTCACTCACTGATGCTTACTTAATCCATTGTGTCCCCACAGTGTTTATTAAACGCTATGAACCAAACACGCAAAGCTTGCTGTGCTGCTGAGCATGCACTTTGTTTTGCTGGTGATGCTGAGGCTGGAACCCAGGCCAGTGCTGCCTCCCCAGACCTGCAGCAGGCGTGCTAATAGAGAGCAAACAATAGAGTAAACAAGGTTTGTAGATAAATGAAGCACCATGGTGAGCACAACAGGAAAAGTAGATGCATACCAGGATAAGGCAGGTGGGAATTCTCAGGGTTAGGGAGTTACAGTGTCAAATTTGAGGCTGAGTGGAGGTCAGTTAAGTGGAGGTGAGCATTTGGGCACACAGTATGGGGGGGGGGGAGTGTCCCCACTGAAGGAACAAGCAGTGCAAAGCCCGTCCAGTGTGGGGTGTGCTGGAGGAAGTTAGGGAGGACAGGACGGCCACAGGGAGCCAGACAAGGGGAAAAGGGAGAAAATTAGGTCCAGAGGTAACGGCCTGAGATTCTGCAGGTCCCTGCAAGTCTTTATAAGAACGCCACCTCAGCCAGGACCGCAAACCCCTAAAACTGTGCCTCAGCCAGGCGCTTATAATTCCAACACTCTGGAAGGCTGAGACGGGAGGACTGCAAATTTGAGCCCAGCTTGGCCAATGTAGTGACTTAGTGTGAAAAAAGGGCTGGGATGTGGCTCAGTATGAAGGGTCAGGTTCAGTCTCCAGTTTGTCACAAACAAACAAACAAACTCTGTCTCTTACTTGAGTGAAATGAACAGCCACTGCTGGGCTCCACAGCAGTGACAGGACCCAGACCGTGTCCCTGTTGCTGTCACCAGCAGCAGTTGGAGTGTCTATCAACACCCCAAGCATCTTGAGTAATTATCGCACTCACAGTGACCCCCAAGGCTTGAGGTCCCTTTCCTCCTCGCCTGACCTTGTTCCTCACCCCGATGCCCTTCCCCACCCTGTCTCTCTCCCTAGGCTGGCTGAAGGGGCTTCCTGGGGCCTTTCCTGCGCAGCTGGTGTGTGAAGTCACAGGGGAACACGAACGGAGGAAGCACCTTCGTCGGCACCAGAGGCTTCTTGAGGCTATGGAGCCCTCTTCGGGCACCCCCCAGTGACCCTTCACCCTAATGCAGGCTGGGGAGGAGGCTGGCAGCGTGACACTGAAGGGGACAGAAACCATCCATCCATCCATTGGATTCTCTGTCAGTGGAAACACTACCTCTAGTGACAGCCAATCGGGACTGAGCTTCCAGATGGAGCAGCCAATGAAAAGGCCTCTGAGCTCACCGCAGTGAGGATGAGGATGGCTTCAGTGGTTGCCAGTGGAAACAGAGGCAAAGTAGAGAGCAGCTGATGGGCACGGAGCTGGCTGAGTCCCTGGCAAGTGGGTATCCTTGCTACGTTCATAGCCAAGGAAGACACCGATGGACCAATTCAGTTCAAACCAAAGCAAACCACTGATACAGAGATAAAGTCCTACAGCCAACAGAGATGATCGGAGACCTGTCCAGCCACAGAAGATCATGATCCGGGCCCAAGAGACCAGCGGTCACTCGGCTTGTTTCTACAACCGCCACCAGTTCTGCGCTGGAGTCTGAGAAGTGTTAGGTTTCATTCCTAGGATACCGCCTGTGCCCTCTCAAGTCATTTCCTCACTTCAGAAGAATCCCGCACCTGTGTCTCAAAGCCTCTGTGTCTGTGCACCTGTGAGGTATCAGGGAAGGCTGTTCTGCCGATCAGGGGATGTGTGGTGGGAAAGGCATTAGGTCTGAGTTCAGGAAGAGCATATTCTGGGTGTAGCTTGGCGAGGAGGCCAATCTGAGGGTGAAAGTCGTGGACTGGGTCTCTTGTGGCACAGGGTTCCATGACAGCTGGACGGTGATGCTGTGGAGTGGTCAAGCAACCTGGCAAAGGAGCTCAGGGGCAGAAAGTGGCCAGAAGCTGGGGCTCAGACCCTTAAACCTCCACACCATTCTCTGCCCCAAACCCTGGTCTCCACAGTCCCACTTTGCATGTCCCCCAACTTGGATTATTATCATTTAGCAACCTCAGTCTTGGGCCGAAGAACATTCTAGATCCCAGGTTGGGTTGAAGACCTGGAAGCTGTGAATCACAGGCTGGCTTCTTGCCTCTTCCCTGATCCTCCCACAGAATCAGGGGGCTGAACAGTGGAGAGCTGGAGGTGCTGCCCAGCCCAGAGCAGAGCATCTGCTCCCAGAGGAGGTGAAGGCTGGACACAGCTGAGCAGACAGGTGCTGGGAGGTGGGGAGCCACGCCTGGAACATGAGCTTCCCTATTGAGGGCCATCACCCCTTTCTTTCACCTCATGCTTGGTGACTCGCCCAGGACAGAAACTGCCACGCAGACCACAGGACGTACAAGCAATTTGGAGACTCAAAGGGAACAGGGTGCTGGCATTCGGCATGTCCACAACTTTGGAGATTCGCCTAGTGCAGTGTCTGACATGTGGAAACACTCAATAAACGCTGGTGGAGTTGTGTGAGGCTCTTTAGGACAGTGTGTGCTCCCTGGGGCAGTGGTCCACAAATCGGGCTTCATAAGGGGAGACGGGCTGGCCGGGAAGGTGTCAAGAGTGAGGATCAGTTTCCCTGGGAACTGGGATGGGGAGACCCCGTGTAAGTCCTGAATGTGCCAGCGCACAGCTCTTAAGATAATTGAGGTGGCTGTGGTTTTGTGGCCTCTGTGGCAGTGAGGGGTTCTTGCAGCCTGGAGAAGAAGGCAGGGCAGGGCTTTTGCAGGGACAGAAGTACAGTGAGAAGACAGTGGAGCAGCGAGTTAGCCACAGGACACCTTCTGACAGGGCAAACATCTCTATGCTTAATTTAATTCAATCTACACCTATTTGAGAACCTTTAGGCAGGCACTGTTAAAAGATCCAGGAATACAGACATGAAAACGACAAGGCTCTTGTGCCCCGGGAGCCAATATTGAGGGGAAGGGGACAATGATCTACTCAGCAAAGAAATAAGATAATATCAGGTAGCAGCGAGTGCTGTGAAGAAATACGAAGCCCAGTGTGGAAGTGCACGCCTATGATCGTGGTACTCTGGAGGCTGAGGCAGGAAGATTGCTAGTAAAATCCTAATGCAGAAGTTAAACAGATGAATTTGAAAAGGGGCCAGGGATGTGGCTTAGTGTGTCCAGTAGAAAAACACAGAGAACGTACAGCAAGGGCTGTGGCATAGAGCGCTGCGTGTGTGAGAGAGGGGGCATTAGGGGAGACTGGGGGAGACAGCTGAGACTCGGACTACAAGCAGGAAACAGCTGTGGGAAGAGGTGGGGAAAGTGATCACGAGGGGGTCGTGGGTCGAGCACAGGAGGCAGCGGGGTGAGCGTGAGCACACGCGCCTTGAGATTTCTTGGTGGGACGACTCCTTTTCCTAGCCCCGTTTGGCATTAAAACAGAGACAGACTGCGCTGCTCAGAGACAGACAGACGTCCAGGGGCGTGCACAAAGTTGCACAGGTGTCCCCATAGTGTCCCTCCTGGCCCTTACTCCCTTTTCCATTTCGGGGTGACCCGAGTGTTTGTGCAATCCTGGAGAAGTCTGGCTGAGGGCCACGGAGCACAGCTCTGTAAGAAAGGCACAGCTGTGGGGGACGGAGGCCCTGGAGTTAGGGTTAGAGAAATGGGGGAAACGAGGTGACCTGAGGAAGACAGGAGGGTCGGGATGAGTCACAGGTGGCTCGAGGTCAGCTGGCGCATCCTGGCGGAGCATCCACCCCAGCCAGAGCCCTTCAGCAGTCCGCTCCTCCCTCCTGCCCTGCAGGGATCGTCTGCCTCTTCAACGCCAGAGGTCAGTCGGTTCCGGGTGCCAGGACACCAGCCGGACACACCGTCCAGGAGCAGGGATACAGAAAAAGATGAGACTTCTGTGCCCAGGGAGCCAATACTGAGGGGAGGGGCAACGATCTACTCAGCACATTATCTGTGCGCATCAGATGGGAGTTTGGCATTTCCCCGTCCCTGCAGACACTGAGCCAGGCCTGCTGCCTGAGCTCCAGCTGCCCTGTACCCCACCCCTGACTTCTGCAGTTCAGTCTCACTCTGCCTTGATCCGGATTTTTGTTTTCTTCTTTGCAGTAGCTGGCTTCCGCCGCCCTCCCATCACCACTTCTGAAGCCTTATCTCAGTGGCATAAGTGCCTGCTTGGCAAGTGCGAGGTCGTGAGTTTGATCCCCGGTACCGATAAAAACGAAAAAGCCAAAAAAAAAAAAAAAAAAAAAAGAAACCCAGTACCAAAAATAAATAAATTTAAAAGAAGAAAAAGTCTATAAAAATTAGATACAAAAATATGATTTAGAACAGTAGAGGGAAAAAAAAAGCATTCACTTAAAAATTTAAGCCCAGAAATACAACATTAAAACCCAGGAGAAATGTATATATAGATGTACTTTTTTTCAAAAGACCAGGTCTCACTGTATAGCAGAGGCTCACCTCGAACTCACTTTGTAGCCCAGGCTAGCCTCGAGCTCCCAGAAGTCCTCCAGCTTCAGCCTCCCGAGAGTGCTGGGATCCGAGGTGTGTGCAACACACCCCGACACACTTGCTCTTTGGGCAGGTTTTTGCACTGGTGTGTTTCTTATGGTGATAGATTAAGAGTTTTGTCCCTAATGGGCAAGATATTTGAAGATTTTCTAATGACCTTGCTTAAGTAGTCCACTCTTTATTTCTTTGGTTATGAAATAACCAAAGTGTTATTGTTTTATGAAATAACCAAGAGTGTTATTTTTTAATTTTAATTTCTATTACCACATATTTGTAGTATATAACAATTACATTCATCCTGGGGTTGGTACATGTGTATATCTTAATTTTTTTTTTTTACGTTCTCCATTTCCTTTCTTAGGAATTTAATTCTTTTATTTTAAAGAGAATAAAACAAAACACAACACAACAATCCAAATCAGAGCAGAGCAATGCAAGCAACTCAGGACTTTAAAACAAGACAACAGGACATCAACAGTCGCTACCATAATGTCTCTTGTTTTGTTCAAAATAGTTGAGCGTATCTTCACACACAATAATATCAAACATAGCAAAATAGTATAAAACCATGCAAAAGAATGAAAGCATTACAGGACTTCAAAACCAGATAACAGGAAGTGAACAATGGCTACTATACTATCTCGTTTTCTTCAAAAAAGTTATCCATACTGTCACATATAATAAAATCAAATAAAACAACAGAATAGAACCAATCAAAACAGAAGAACAAAAGCATGTTAGGACTTCAAAGCAAGATGATAGTAAATCAGCAGGGTTATCATTATGTCTCGTTTTCTTCAAAATAGCTGTTCATACCATCACACATAATAAAATCAAACAAAACAAAGCAGAATAAAATCAAACAAAACAAAGCAGAATAAAATCAATTAAATAAATGAATGAAAGCATTATAAAACTTTAAAACAAGATAACAGGAAACCAATCATGATTATTATAATATATCCCATAGTATTCAAAATAGCTGCCCCTACCAAATCAGACAGAGTAAAATCTAACAAAACAAGACAGAATAAAGCCAAATCTAGCAAAATGTGAAAGCAATTACAAGAGTTCAAATCAAGACAATAAGGAATTAACAGCAGTGACCACCTTTCCCTCCAAGGGATTTATTAAGTATTTCTTCCCCATCACTTTTACAATAACTGTTCTGCTTTTTGGATCCCATTAACTCCTTCTGTTTCTTATGCTGGGGTTCACCTGTATGAGTTCAGACTGTTTTGCCCATGAACACGATCTCCAGTTGCATCCATTTACCTGCAAACGCCTTGAGATTAATTTGCTTGATAGCTGGGCAGCTTTCCATTGTGTGGCCATCTCTTTCTTAACATTCTGTGGTTGATGGGCAAGTTACCCTTGCTTTTTTTTTTTCTCTTCTCCTGCAGCATGGAACAATTGTTTTCTCTCCTTTGATTTTCAGTCTATGAATTTCATTTCCAGTTAAATGTTTTTCTTTCTTTTTTTTTTTTATCAGTACCAGGATCGAACTCATGACTGCCTGCTTGCAAGGCAGGTTCTTATGCTGCTGAGCTAAATCCCCAGCCCCTAAATGTTTTTCTTGTAAACAGTCTATCAGTGGATCTTGTTTCTTGATCCACTCTCCCTGTGTTTCTTTTTATTTCTAAATTGAGGCCATCTACATTAATGCTTTGTCTCTGCCCTGCTGTCCCCCTGTTGGCCCTCCACTTTCCCGTTCATTCAGTTGCCTGTCCTGCTTGGCGATCCTCCTCTGCGGCTGCTCCTTGGACCATGGTCATCTTCATCTCTCTGTATAATGTCCTTTAGCACTCTCTGTAGGGTTGGTTTGGCAGTCATGAATTCCTTCAGTTGTTCTTTATCATGGAAGTATCTTGCTTTTCCGTTGATTTTGAAAGATAGTTTTGCAGGGTAGATCAATCTGGGTTGGAAGTTGTTTTCTTTTAGGATTTGAAACACTTCACTCCAAACTCTTCTTGACTTGGTGGTTTGTGTTGAGAAGTCTGCTGTGATTCTGATTGGTTTTCCTTTATAGGTGATCTGTTTCTTTTCCCTAACAGCTTATAATATTCTGTTCTTGTGCTGAGTTTCTGGGATCTTGATTATTATATGTCTGGGTGTAGATTTACTTTGGTTATGGTTAGCTGGAGTTCAATATGCCTCACTTACCTAAAGGCCAGATCCATTTCCCATGTTTGGAAAGTTTTCTGCTATTACTTCTGTAAATAGCCCTTTAATTTCAGTTATGTTGACCCCTGCTTCTTCACTGATACCTATCACTCTTAAATTATGTTTCTTTGCATCATCTTGCAGCCGTGAGTTGTTATTTCCTGATTGTGTTATTTTTAAGAGCTCTTTCCTTTCACGATCACTAGCTGCAATCCTATCTTCAAGGTTTGAAAGTCTGTCTTCAGTCTCTTTCAAGTGGTTTTGCCAGCTTTTGATTGAATTTTTAATTTCCTGCATCTCTCTTTGAATCTGTTTCATGCATTGTAATTCCTTTCTCCAGTCATTCAAGGTTTCCATCATTTTCCTATGCTTCTGTTTATTGTCTCTGTCTTCTTTAGACCTGATGAACAATTCGTTTAGTATGTTTGTGATTTCTTCTTTTGCCTGAGACATCATTCCGATTTGACTGCTTTTACAACCTCATGGAGTCCTTTCCTTACGTCAGTTGCTAGCCTCTCAGAGATTTCAGGCGCGTGACTTCCGTTTCCTCCCATGACTGTGTCTCCTGGATTTGTTCTGTGTGGGATGGAGATCTGAGAGTGCCTTTTGCTCCTTCGTCTTGACATTCTTCTGAGTTCCTCCCAAAAAGCTTGTTGTGGGGTCCCCAGGGCTTCCCACATTGGCTGCCCCTCTGGGGGTGGGGTTCATGGCACCTGGCTGTATGCCCCCGCTCCTGCTGGCTGCTCGCAGGAAGCAGCCTTCTTGTAGCAGAAGCTGGCAGATGGAGGCAGGTCTGCTGGCTCTCTTTGCCCACCCAGGATGCCCACTGGAAGGAGCCTT